AACTCCAACTGAGCCTTCTCAATATGGGCAAGTTTGTCCTCTATAACTTTCTTCCTGGTTCTGTAGGTATGCTTGGGATTTTCCAGTATTCCTCTGTCACACAGTCCTTTTGTTAACATTATTGTTTATTAAAGAATATGAAATATATGATTATGAATGAATAAAATGTGATGCAAAAATTTAAATGTACTAAAATGCAAATGCAAAATACAGGGTGTTGATCTTGGAACGACTCCTTAGAACAACTCTTTATATTAGAACGACGTTCAATTACAAAGTTGAAACACATCACAAATAAATATGCAACATCTCTCCTATTTCCTGTACATATGCTAGTAACTCCACGATCTTCTGGTTTTCTTCAGCCTCGGGATCCAGTTCTTCAGTCACATCAGCAGCTTCCTCGGATAAAATGACCAAATATTGAGCTATTTTCGCGCGTGTCATAGGTAACAAGCAATAAGGTCCTCTCTTTGCTTAACTCTCACTTGAGCTCGCTCCCATCGAAAACGCCACTGTATATCCCCCTCATAAGGAACTATCGATAGCTCAATTGCTTGCCTCTGAAAATCTTGAACCATGGCTTCAAGCTCACTTACTTGTTTTTTCAGACTTTCAACTTCCCCACAGCTTAAGCTACCTTCCCCGCTTCTGTATCATCTTAATGCAGTCTCTAAACTTGAAATTGTCCCCTTCAACTTCCCATTCTGAGCTTGACTCTCTTGTAACTACTTCTCTAAAGAATCCTTTTCTTTCGATAAAATCTTCACTTGGTGTCTACTTTGCTTGAGCTCTTCTTGAATCTCTCCGGCTATTCTTTTGAGATTTGCCACCTCTTGCCTCAATTCGACAGACTTACTCAAGCTAGAACCTGCCTGAGCTTTTACCATTCGCTGATAAGTTGACCGAAGATCGTCAAAGTCTAGCCGAAGTTGCTTCTCCACTTTTTCAATTTGATATGCTCTACTCTTCTGAATGTCAATCTCCAATCCCTTTTGATACACTTCATCTTCCAGCCTCTGCAAATTCATTCTCCATTGTCTCCGTTCTGCTTCAAAATCGCGCTTAGCTAACTCTAATGGAGATGGCACCACTCTCAACTGTTCCTCCACCGGCTGAATATTTTCAGGATTCACTATCGGGATGTTGTCATTTACTTGACCGCTTCTCCACTTCTCGTACTCTTGAGATAACTCGAGATCATAAGTGAACAGATTCACACAACGAGTTTGCTTCCAGGCCTCAGCAGCCCCTTTAACTTTACCCTTATACTGATCTCCTTTGAATGCAAAATCCGACCCTACCAAGTCTCATATGGCTGGAATGAACTGCCTTGACCCATACTGTCTGGAAACTAGTAGTGGTGCATACCCAACAGAACCCCATATACCTGGTAAAGGAACCCAATCTCGCTCTCCACATCGGTAAAGTATAGCCGAAGAGACATTCCACGAAGCTCGCCACAAAATATCACCGTCTCTGATATCCTTGAAGATGACCATCCATTTTTCTTCGGTGAAGCCCCCAGGCTATTCTTTAGAAAGAAAATCCTTCAAAGGCGAAAACTCCTCTAGAAACACTCATCCTGGTGCTCTTTCAACATGTTTGAAATGACTCAGAATCCACACTAGCAGCAAAGGCGCACACCCTATAAAGCGTCCTTCTCCTTCGCGCCTATAAGAACTCAAAGACCGGAACGTCTCAGCTAAAATGGCTGGAACAGGATCCACGTGCTTGTCTAATCTTTTAAACAGGTCAACGACCTATACGTCTACATATCCTAGCACCTTTGGAAAAATAACGAGCCCATAAATTCGTAAAGCAAACAAGTCAAGCTTCTTTCTCTTATCAGGGTGATGATCAATTACTTATTTCAAAGCAGCCCAAGAGATACACTCACTCTCTCCCTTTTTCTTAATGTTTCTAACTACCCAATCTTCACTCATTCCGGTCATCAATAATAATTTCTTCTTAAAGAATGAGTGACTGGAAGCTTGGTATATACTCTATCCATCTGGGACCTCGAACAACGGACCAAAGCTTGATACTCCTCTATTGTTGGTGTTAGATCCACTCTACCAAATGTTAAACAGCTGTAAGCCGGATTCCAGAACTGCGCCAATGCTCTAAATAGATTTCGGTCAATAGGAACATCCAGAAGATAAGGAATATCGCCGTACAACTGATAAAACATCTCCTTATCGGCTACTGTCCATATTCCACATATCTCCTTTAGCTCACTTAGATCATTCTGACGCACGTTGATGTGAGTATAACCAAATAACTCCGACATGTATCCAGGCATCACGCTGTCCCCATTGGTCAGTTGGGACTGTTCCGACCACCTCAGAACATCGCATTGTCCTCAACCTCTTTCTGAATCGTTCATTCCATATTACTGGCCTTCTATATGGATATCGATCCTAAATCAACACCATGTAATGGACATTGCAACGCAAAACAGAAAAGAAATAAAGCAAAGACAACAAAAGATCAGTTAGTAAACATAAAGCAATTAAGTCGGGATAATAATTTGTTAAAGAATCCTACCCACATGCTGGCTACCCAATCATGCTTTATCAGATCCTACCCAACATGATATCTACCCCATGCTTTGTTATTCACAAAAATAAATCCTAACTGCATGATATCTAATTCGTATACTTATTCAAAAAATAAACCTAACGAAATGATATCTAGTTCGCATGCATTTATTCGAAAAGCAAAATTAAATGACTCAAAAAAAAGCTTTTCCTTATGTACCCTCCTCGTGGGATTCTTAAGGTTCGGGTTTGGTTCAACCTAAGTTCAGGCTCTACGTTCACTATATGCCGGGTTAGGTTTTAAAGTAATAGGTTCTTGAATTGTCCTTGTTGGTGCCCCCTTGGGCTGTCGAACCCTCAATCCTGGCCCATCACATGCTTTAGGGGATCGAGTTCAATTTCGAGGGAACACACCTCCTTATGTCCATGCGGAGGTGATTACCATCACGAGGACCATAAGGCGTGAGCTCCAGGAGCGATCCACTATCCCATGCGGAGGTGAAAACCACACGAGGGCATATTCTCTCACTCCTACTTAAATAGGACGGAGCGGGGTTTTAGCTCATGTCATGATAATGCAGTTGTGCAGTGTGTGAGGAAAAGCGAAAAAACAAACAATAAAAACACTCAAAATCAATTCCTAAAACAAACAATTATTCTGAAATCATTAGCAAACAGATTAGTACAACTATTTAATGGTCAATCGAATTAAATTAAAGAAATCAAAATACAAACAAAACTTATTAAAAACCAAACAAGGGATCAAAAACCAACTTAAAATGAATTTTTAATTTTCAATTGCAAAGACAATTAATTAATTGACTATCGGCCTGACTCTCTAAAAAAAGTCCTCAGCAGAGTCGCCAAGCTGTCGAAACGATTTTTTTCTAAAAGGTGAAAAAAGGTGAGATTTTAAAAACCACAGTAATTCTTCTTTTTAATTTAAAAACAAAATGCGATTTAAAAGACCGCTCGTTTCGAAAAATTTTGGATTTCCATTACGATCGAAAAATACGGTTCGAAGAGTCGCCACCAATATTTGATTAGGGTGTGATTGGGCACCCAAAAATGTTTTGTCATTTTAAATAAAAATTAATTTTAATTAAAACAACAAATTAAGGTCTGCGTTACCAAAATCCGAGTTCGGGAGTCGGTTACGTATAGGGAAAGATTAGCACCCCCACAACGCCCTAAATTGGTACCTAGTCGATTAATTAACGTCCTTGCATTGAACTTTACAAATTCGAACTTAATTTGATTTTTGATCCCATAAAACAAAGACGTAAATTTAAAAACATTCAAAAGCACTCAAATAAATTAAATTAAAATTACCAAATTGTTTTAGAAAGATAAAGAATGTTCGATTATTTACAAATATCGAGACCAGGTCTTAAAGATATAACAACCTTTTCTCGATATATTTAAATAAACGAACATTTCCTTTTCTTTCGTTCCCAAATTTTATGTGACGAATTAATTTTTTTTGTTTCACTTTCGGGATACACTTTTATTTTAAAATCATTAAAAGCGGACCTCAAATCAGTTATGACTGCCCACTTAAAACAATTTTAAATTAAAAGGTATTACCCTTAATTCAATTATGTCGTGTGGTCGACATATGCACATGAAGATTTCATACATATTATGCAAAATGGTGTTAAAGAAAAACCTATGTTTGGGCAAGCATACAAATAAACAATTATAAGTAACTAAAAACTTATCATGTTATGAAATTAATTAATTAATGTAACTAAATGTAAATGAACCTAGGGTTAATTACAAAATTGTTACACATATATATATATTATTCTTAGACTTAAACAAAAAAATTAAACCAACTAAATTAACTTAAGATAAAAAAAATTAATAATTAAATAAAACAAACGTAAAAAAATGATACTTGAAACATACATACATGACAGTGCCTTAAAAAAGAAATCCAAGCTAAATGCTAAAGACCCGTAACTAAAATAAGAACAAAACAAAACAAAACAGAGAACCTTCCTAATTTTCGTACAATTATAACTCAAAATGACCTAATAACTAACTTGATAAATTAAAAATCTGATGCCTTACAAAGGAATTAATCATTTAAATAAGGCTTAAACTAAAGATAATAGCTCTAATAATGAATAACATGAAAATACCCCTTAATTACACAGGTTTCGAACAAACAACAAATCAGCAAAGGATTAAAACATAAATATAAATAAACTAACAACCCAAAATATGAAAATGCCAATTTTTGATTGATGACTGAATCAAAATATTACAGAATACACAAGGACCTACACGATCATTAACCAATTTCTTAAAAATGTGGGTGATTCTAACCCTCAAATTGCCGACATTTTGACCCTATACTAAATGATATTGTTTCAACAAGCCATATTGAATGTTTTTGGGGTAAAAATTTTAACTTAATTTATTATTGTTTTTTATTAGCCAGAACAAACTATACCCCTCTCCAGCCGTTTCCTCTCATTTACTCTCCCTCAAGCTCCCCTTTGCAACCTAAACTCTCAAGTAAAAAAAACAAACCCCCATCGGGACCTTCTATACCACTTGCACAAATCATATATCGAAGGTTTAGAGCGGTTACCTTGAGCAATTGGTTATGGTTCTGACTCCAAGCGACGAGGAAGGTAAGAGTTTTATTTTCCATTTCTTTCGTTGTTTTGCTTTCTGGTTGATGATGAGTATTTTGGGTTCAAATCTTTTCTTTGATTGTTGATGGACAAATTCGGATGGGTATTCTTTGGTTTGAATCTCTCTCTTTTTCCTGTGTTTTGGTTGGTAATGACCGATGGCTACTTGCTCTCATTTTTTTTTGTTCTTGGTACTATTTTCCTCCCTTTTCTTTTCGTACCGATGGCTCTCGTTTTCACTCCTTTTCAATCTGTTTTTTTTCTTCGTATGAGTGGTTTTTTTCCTTTTTGAAGATGAGAATCCTCCCCTTTTCAGTTTTCAGTAGTTAATTCCCAATAAAAAATCAACTCTTTCAGTTTCCTCCAAAAATGGCATCCACGTTTTTCTCTTTTTAATTTTCCTGTAACTGTTCATGTCTTGCAGGACTTCACGTGGACTGGACTGGAATTAACAATACTGTTTTGGGCTGATTTGGGCTACCATTGGTCCAAATTTATATCGTGTACTGGATACGAAGCTTCCGGACAAAAACAAGCATCTATAGGACTCTTATGCATTGGCTTTCTCAAACGTTCATGCCAAGAAAAGGAAATTACAAGGGAACAAGCAGTTAAGGATCTGGAGGTAAGCTATGAGACTTTAAATCTGGCCTTTTTGGTCTACATCTTGTCTTGATGATTGTTTTTTATGCATTCTTTTGTTTGATCAATTATAAGCCTAGTCATACAGTGAATGCCTCTTTAAGGATTTAAACCTCTCCAACCACATTATACTCAAAGTGTTCTTAAGTTGACAAATGAGCTGTAAGAATACATTGTTGTAGTGCATTTCAAGTGATTTTGATCGAATATTGAGCACCAATTAAGGAATATTAAGTAATCATTTTAGGAAAGTTTTTTTTAGCATTAACACATTATTTAACTGAGTTCAAGAAGGAATGCATTAATTACATGGCAACGACGAACATTGCTCTAAATATTTATTAATAGACACCTTACACGATGATGAATATTGGAGATTTTGTAATTTGGTGTTGATTTCATGATTTTTCAAAACGAAGAAAAAGAAACTAGAATAATGTCATTGAGTGTTGATGTGCAAGAATTGGATAGACGAAAAGAAGAACTTGAACAAATGTTGTTGGCAGGAGGGGGATGAGAGAATGAAGCATGGGACATGTTGATCCTGTTGTGTATTATGTTTTCCTGTAGAGAGGTAGGCAAGGGAGCTCACACCAAAACAATTGTTCAACTTGAAGATGCTTCCTTGTCTGATGCTTTCTTCAAGTAGGAGACTAGGAATAACATTTCGTGTAAGATTCTGTTGGATTGAATATCAAATAATTTGCGCACATTTCTGATTTAGAACCTTCATTTTCTCTTCTTGTCTTTTATTTCTATATATATACCAGATTTCTATATAAAGCAGATCCCTCTAATTATACCATAAAATCAATAAGGTTTGAATTATAGATTAAATAAGCTTTTATTTGCTGTTAACAATTATTATTGGAGGTAACAAAATATTGATGTGGTGTGTTAAACCAGCTGAACTGGTATCTCATTTGGTCATGCGAGACAACCACATTGATTATCCGTTTGATTACCCAACGAATCATCGTCATGGACGATTCAATATCATATTAAAATTAAAAATTCCTAAATTGAGCATGATATATTTTTATATAAATTATGTTGAAGTAAAATTTTAATATATTTTTTAAATAAATTATGTAAAATTTAATATTAATTAAAATTAAAATAATACATGATATATTTAAATAATAAAATAATATATTATCGATGAATTTTTATATAAATAATTTTTATTTAAATATATTATCGATGAATTTTTATATAAATAATTTTTATTTAAATAATTAGAATTTCACTTGTTAAAAAATATAGATCAAGGTCAATTTGGTAAAATATACATTCAAGTAATCTTTTATTCCTTCAACCAAACACTGTAATATTACATTATTGCCAAACAAACCAAACACAGTAATATAACATTCACAGTAATGTGTTAGGTAATGTTATATTTTGGTAATCATATTACCACTGGTAATCTTATATTCTGTAAACCAGTCGCATCCTAAGGCTTAACCACATGTTGTTGCAAGCACAGGGAAGCTGTCCATTCTAATAATTGTTCATGCCATTTTCACAGGGTAAGCATATATTATTATGTATTCATTTTCTTTAATTTATTTTAATTCAAGAATATAAATGAACATAAAATTTTATGTTAAGAGAGATAAACTTATAAAATTTTAGGAAAATATAAAAATTTAAAAATTTTAGACAGGATTATCACTACCCACTGTCCCGTCCATCCATCCATACTCACAAGAGTTATGTTGTTCAATTCTAAAATGATAATGAAGGTGATGATGATGATATTCCATAGGAAAAGAGAATCATGTCCACATTGTCAGATTTTGTGTCTTTTTTTCTTTCGATATTTTATAAATATGAAAAAATAATAATGATTTGTAAATGCGGTCTTAAAGGACCATGATAATTATGGATGAAAAAATTGGGCTTAAAGGACTGTATCAGGAGAATATTGGCAATATAGTAAGGTACCAATTGTGAAAGAAATTTATTATTCCATTGAATTGGCCAAATAGGGAGAAGGAAGAAAAAACAAATACTATGAGAAATATAGAATTGGATTTATATAGATTTGATTCCTATATATCTTAAATACATTATATGCTCCAAATGTTTTTCATCTGATTCAATTATGTCCTGCGTTTAGTACATGTTCATTAAATTTGAGACAATTTAAGGAGAGATCCAGGTTTAAAAGTAGTGATTGAATTAGACATTTTATTTTGTGGGTGAATTATCTAAAGTAATTTTAATAATAATTCTATCTATCAAATCATGAATGTGAATGTGTGATTTCATAGAATAATATAGATTTATAATATATTTTTTGATAAAGTTTTTATCGAGATTTTATTGGGAAAAAAAAGAAAAGAAAATTATATTAGTAGATGTAGGAACTCAACTTAGAGAAGAATCTCCTAAAATATTGAACGATTTAGTAATAATTTACCCTTAAAAGTTTTTATAATATAGTTTGGTTTTGGTTTTTCTACTATAATTTTTCTTATTTTAATTTTATTTGAAATATTATAAAATATAGTGAGAAATGAAAATAGTGATGACTTGAAAAATAAGAAAAACATTTCTCTTGAAAAAATAATTCATTGAGTGGTCCTAGCGAGAAAGAGAATACTATTTTTCAAGTTTTAAGTTTAAGTAGCTGTGTTTGTAAGGTTTGTATTGTTAATATATTAAGAAAACATATGCACAAACACAATTACTCGAACCGGAGACCTCTAATAAAAATAACACTATCTTTTAGTCCTAAGGCCACTCAATGAATTCAATAATATTTAAATAAAAACCTAATAAAAAGATTAAGTTTATATATACGTATATATATTATTAATTTTTGAAGTTTTTATTTGTAAGAGAAACTAACAGTTTTTAAAAAAGAAAGTTTAAAACTTATATGTTTGTGATTATGGCAGTTTACATTGTATGTGCACAATTGATTATTTTAAATACCAATTTAATTTAATTTATAATTTATAAATATATACATATATATATATATATATATTAAGATAAAATTTTAAAATATTTTTTAAAGATATATGGGTAGAGTTGACTATGTTAATTTGCTTTTATATACAGCTTGGAAAATCTTAGAATAAGCTGTTTGTAATTTTGACTTGCAGTAAATTCTGCATTTTATTTTTGGATAATAAAATATAATTATAAAAAATCATTAGAAAGAGGCATTATGAATTCTAAAATGAAATATATTAAAAAAAGAATTAAATGAACCGAATTTCATTATGAGAAAACAAATGAGCCCGCACTGAAGTTACAGTCTTCACTTTCTGCAATTTGTAGCGATTGCTGTTTAGACTAACTTTTGGTACGGCCCTTTATTTTGTTGCATACTTTCTGTCTCATTAATTCCTCTCCACTTTTCGTTTTCCATTTCATTAAATTAAAATCATTCGTACGGTACCCATCCTCCTCTGTTTTCTTCATTGAACTCATCGTATCATATACGGAAAGAGAGGTGGGACACCACCTCTTATTATTTGCTCTCTTATATTCCCAATTTTCAAATAGATTGAAATCGATTTAAGTCAGAATTGTTTGTGACATGAGGTGGTGATGATAGAAATACATTCGAGTTCGAATTGGTATTGATATGAATATGAGTTGGACCAAGTAATTTTAGATTTGAATCCAACTTACATCCGACCTGAGAATGATATGAACCTGATAATGTGATAATCAAACCTGACTTGCATTCGATTCGATATGAACCCGAACTTGAGATTAACCTGGTAAATAATTGATATTACCCGCCTTTTATCAACCTAATATATTATGAACCTGGCATGTAGTTGACTCAACTTATAAATGATCTAACTAGTTATTGAATTGATCTTATATTGACCCAACTTGATATTTACCTTACTTGTAAATTGCAATTAATGAAGTTGTGAGATTATGAATTTATCATAGTGTAATGTGAAAAAAATAATTATTCACTATTTAAGGTGTATGATTAACTATGATCACTAAATTAATATATTCACTTTTTATATTTATAAATTCTTACAAAGACGATTGTAGAAGGATATTAAGATTTTACTCAAACAATAGAAGCAATACTCTCTGAAGTAAGCCCTGAAAATGAAGGTGCTAAACTAATTGTAGTAAGCAGAACAGGGCCAGATGCTATGGAAGACCTTTCAAAAGAAAAGGTTGGTTAGGAGCGGGAAGGAGTGAATTATAGAAAGAGTAGAGACGTATATTGGGACACTAGCTCCGACCATGTCAACTAGGGCGTCCTGGCATTTAAAATAACCTTTGTTAGGAATCGCTTTCATAAGAAGGAAGGGATTTAGCTAAAATGTCTTGTTTGAGTTTTATTTCACGTTAAAGTAGTGGGGATCCCGGTGCAAGGGCTTTAGCACTGTAGGACAGATCCCAAATCCTCTGTGAAAGAAGGCGAGTCTGTAGCCAACAATGAAATGAAAGCATGTCTTTCCTTTTGAAATGGGAATCGAATACAAGGCCTTATCATTAGAAAAATATTCAAAAGTTTTATTAAATTAATAATTTGTATTGAAAAAAATAAAAAATAATTCTTCATAATTTAAAACAAATTATTAATAATGATCATTAGATTAATAAATTTAATTATGATATATATATACGTATAATTTATTAATGCATGTATCATATATGTATAATATGTACGTATGTATGTATAATTTATTAATGCTCGCATGTATGTATAATTTATTAATGCATGGATATATATATATAATTTATTAATGTATGCATCATATATGTATGATATGTAGAATTTGTTAATGCATGTCTCATGTATATATGATATGTATGTATTAAAGTATGATATGTATGTGTGTTTCATTTATGTATATATGTATATATAATTTATTATTTATTAATGAATGTATTATGTATTTACTAGTCCTTAAAATTATATTTTTATTCGAAATTGGCTCCTAATTTTTTTATTTTGTAATTTACTCCAAACCATATAAATTACATCATAAACTTCAAACCCTATAAATTGTATTATAAATTGATAATCTCCAAACCCTATAAACTTTTGTTCACCAATTTTTCAATTGAATACAATTTAGTCTATTTTGATATTAATTTCAACTTCACATTTTACAATTGTTTTAATTTGATCCCTGTGTGTTGTTTAATTTATTTAAATTTCAGTTTATTATTTCATTTTTTCAAATTTAGTTCTTAAAAATATATTTTTATTAGAAATTGACCAATAAGTATTTCTATTGTAACCCCTAGACCCGACCTGAACATTATAACCAAATCTAGGTGGTTACATATCGTATTCAGAAATTCTTTTCATATTTAAAACAACGGTAAAATCCATATAACAGTATAATATGAAATTAGCCATAAGAAAGATTTGTAACCCCCTAAACTTAGCCTATGTGTTATGACTAGATCTAGCGGATTACAATAAAATTTACAAAAACATTTTTGATAATTTATAACTGTATTATCAACAGTATCTAACAAAAAGAACACATAGTTAAAAAGATAAAAATTTCATCGAGTAAATATCAATCTGTTAGTGACTGAATAAAATAAAATACATCATAATTCGTATCGCAGTGAAAATCATAAACATAAGTTTTTCAAAATAAGGGCACATGTCATCGTAAATAAAAGCAGTTCGAAAGATAAAAACATTACAACAAAATGTTATGTAGAAATGTGTCGATCATGGGGTGCCTATCCAAAAGTATCTGAAAGGGGGAAA